AAATATATTAACAATTAATTTTTACTTACTCAACCTAATTAATTAATCAATCTTTTTTTTTTTTTCAGCTTTTCCAAACCCAATTATATAGTCCAGTCTAGCCCATTATCTTCTTAAAATTAATTGCCCAAGTCCAACCCAATTTGCTAGTAACCTTAGAATTAGAAAGACTATTTCAAAATTTTGAGATTTGTGAATATGCTCTGCGATTCTTCCTCTCTAGACACTAATCTCCTTTCCTCTGCGCCATAGCTCACTGGCTTTATTTCTATTCTTCAATCGATCAATTCCCTTCAACCTATCATTTTTGGCAACCTTCAAAAGGTAATGCCCATAGCTCTATTTCTATTCTTCAATTGGCTACTTGCAGCTTGCTTGAGCTTGAATTATGAGTATTTGTGAGTATCTGAGTATCTGTGCTTGATGATTTATTTTAAGGTGAAGCAAATCTCATTTTTTTGGCCTTATTATTTCCAATTTCATTTTCCCTCCGATTGTTTGCAAGATAGTCAGAATGCGATTTTTATTGTTTACATGCCTGCACAGCTTCTTTCTCGCATTCGCAGCGAACAATAATTGTATTGTTATTTTTGGGCACATTTAAGTTATTAATTTGTTATATCTTCAGTTAATTTCTCAAACGAAAAATGAGTATCGAGTTTTATTTGATGAAAAGTCTGAATACTTACAGAGACCTATTATTCTCAGCGAGTATAGGGACGAAGATTATTTTTTATCTTCCATCAAACATCTCCATGAGAATCCCCATACCTGTTATTGACGGGAATAGAAAAGGAGAAAGGGTCTGCCCCGGTGGAGACCCATTACCATCCCTACATGGGAGTTTGAAATTGAGAGATCTTGCTGTCTTCCCGGCTATTGACATTAGTTATTGATTAACAATAAAGAGAATAGTTCTATGTTCTAAAGAGAGGAGGGCTATCGGTTATCCGAGCGGTGCTATCTCTAGCTCGGCTCTTAGCTGAGCGAGTATGCACTGTTTATAAATTACAGAAAATTTAAAAATAAAAATTCACTCACCGAAACCAAGTTATATTCCCCATGATTGAATGATCCTATTCCTTTTATGATTCCAAAACCAACCAACGGGGCACAGTTCGTGCATTTCCTTACCCGCCTGTGAAATTAACATGGCACGTGATTCGCTCCTTTCTGTCATCATGCCAATGACAACCCGCATAATTATCTTGTACAACACGCGTGTTGGTGCTGCCAAACTTCATGCGTGATGCATCATGCTTGTTCTCAGTTTAGTGCTACATATGATCAGTTGACTTAGCAATTTGTGCCTCAAGTGTATAGGAAAAGCATCCTGGTAAAAAACACCCGCTGTATACCCTTTTACCTCACGAGCAGTGCGAGAGGCACTCGCCTCTTGCACTATCCGGCGACACTTCCCTTTTCATTGGGCCACGTAAGCTTGTCACCGGCTTTGAAGTGCAACTTCTTACCAACAAGAGTAACGTGGCCCAATAAAAGTGAAAGTGTTGGCCGGAGAGTGCAGAAGGCGAGTGCCCCTACCAGTTATCTTATTCCACTGCAGAGACCTCCTTCAGCTTATCTCCCATGGGAAGATCTCACGTGTGACGTGTGACTCAAACATGGCTGCAGATATTGTGAGTAAGATGGGGCATAATATTGTATAAGTACTCTTGTTTAAGTTAATGGTATTTTGTCTTTTTCTACCCAAAAAAAACAAATTAAATAGAAAAAAAATATTTTATTTATTATTAGTTAATTAATTTTATGTTGAATATAAATCTTATTTTGAATCTTACGTATCTAATT